TATATATATATATATATGTCAAAGCTGTATCTCTACAGACTTTAGAATCAAACACAAAGATCAAAAATGAAGAGCTGTTTGGGCGCCTGTGTGGCTCAGTCTGTTGAGTGTCTGACTCTTGATTTCAGCTCAGGTCTTGATCCCAGGGTCATGGGATGGAGCCCCGAGTCAAGCCCCTGTTGGGCTTTCAGCTGAGCATGGAGCCTGCATAAGATTCTCTCTCTCCCTCTGCCCCTTTCTCTCTCTCTCTCTCAAATAAAATTTCTAAGTTGTAGAGCTGTTGTATTAATGATATTTCCAAAATGGCCTTTCTCAAAACCCCACTTGACCTTAATCAGAGCTCTTTCTCTATTAGCCCTTTGCACACCACGGTGCATGAACGGCGGGCTCTGTGTCACTCCTGGGTTCTGCATCTGCCCACCTGGATTCTATGGAGTCAATTGTGATAAAGGTAACAGTTTCTTTTTAAGAACAAGGTTCTTTTTACTTTCTAAATGTGCAGTTAAGAGGAATATATTTAATATATTATCACTCTACATAATAGCTCTGTAAATAGAGTGTAACACTTTGTTGGCTTCTGTAACAACTTTAACCCCAAATTCTAGTGTAGTTCCACACAGAAGTTTGTTTTCACTCCTAGAATGCTCCAGTGCAGGAAGCCCTTCTCCATGCTGTGATTCTGGGGCCTAGGTACCTGACATCAGTGGTCCTCCCTACAGCTCTGGAGCTCTCTGAAACCAGCCAGTGAGCAGAGGTGGGGACTGATGTAGGCACTTCTTTTTTAAAAAAAAAAAAAAAAAAAAAAAAAAAAAAAAAAGCTCTGTCCCAGAAGTGATCCACAAAACTTCCACATCTATTCCATGGAGAGGTATGAGCCCTCACGGTCCTACCAGAGTGCTGGTCCCAGATGCAGCCTGGAGAAATGTCATCCCTGGCTGGACAACTGTCTCCCACGGACGACTTTATGGGAGAGGAGTGTGGATTTTGTGAACATGTAGCTTTCTCTGCCATATGGGGTTTTGGTATGTCCTAAATAAATTCTGTGGATGAGCTTCTAAGACTGAAATGAAACAGCCTGCTCCCCATTTCCTGACCTAGAAGCCCACTGACCCCCAATTTAAGGACCTGCTCACAGATGACATCCCTGAGAGATGGTTTTCCCTCTGCCTATGATGCAGCATCATAGCCAGTTTTTCTCTCAGAAAGTGGGTTCAAACTTGGCTGTAAAATATTGAATGATCCATACACTTTACAAGATACCTGTCTGTTTTGCCCAGGTCACATATTTTATGGGAAAAAAAGTTTAATAATGTCATACAAAGTGTATGTAATGAAATTATCCTGGTGTCAAAAAGGCTAATTGCATGAGTGGAGTGCTATTTCTTAAAATAAATATATGCCATGAAGTAAGAAGATGTGCCTTTTTTTTTTTTTAATTTTTTTTTCAACGTTTATTTATTTTTGGGACAGAGAGAGACAGAGCATGAATGGGCGAGGGGCAGAGAGAGAGGGAGACACAGAATCGGAAACAGGCTCCAGGCTCCGAGCCATCAGCCCAGAGCCCGACGCGGGGCTCGAACTCCCGGACCGCGAGATTGTGACCTGGCTGAAGTCGGACGCTTAACCGACTGCGCCACCCAAGCGCCCCGAAGATGTGCCTTTTTGAGAAATGTCTCTTGAGTGATAATACAGTTGGCACCAGTTAAGATGGAAATGAACAGGGGAGCCTGGGTGGCTCAGCCAGTTAAGCTTCCATCCACTCAGGTCATGATTTCACGGTTCCTGAGCTCAAGTCCCGCATCAGGCTCTGTCCGGTCCGTGCAGAGCCCGCCCCACTCACACTCACTCTCTCTCTCTCTCAGAAATAAATGAACGTTAACAAAAAAAAAGGATGGAAATAAACAGATTTTTTCAAAAGAAGGACAAGCTAAAGGAAGAATCCCTCAGCATGAGTCAGAATAATAATTTACTTTATACCCAACAGCTTCCTGAGATGTGGAACATTGTATCTATTTCGTTCTCAGATGGGCAAAACGAGGTTTACAGAGCTTCAGTCTCTTGGCCCAAACTCACACCTTCTATCGTACCATGTTGCCCCTCAGGCTACCTGTTTCGGGTCCCTGCTCCTCCACAAGTACCTCTGTGTCTAGGCTGATAAAACTTGGTCTCTCTGTGGGTCATACTTTTCCCGTCTCTAAAATGGGAATTAAACCATTGCCCCTGGTCCCCCAGCCCCAAAGCTAATTGAGAGAGCATGTGAGACTATCTCTGCTTTTTATTTTTAAGCGATCCCAAACTGGAGTATTGGATTTAACACTATGTTGAAGTTTGTATTCACAAAGATTAAGTGCTGATGACATGATAAGAACAGCTAGTGAGTAAAAAAAAAAAAAAAAAAAAAAAAAAAAAAAAAAAAACTATTTTATTTGTCTAAATTTAGCATTCAGCATCTCTGCTAATTCAAAATTAAATTCCTCTTGTCACAAAACGATTGGGAAATACAGCAAATCCTTCAGAGATCTGGATGAAGCACTCCTGTATGAACAGATTTAAAGACACCATTTGGGAGGCCTGCTTACTTAGATGTGGCTGTTCTTGGTGTAGTTTGCACAATGGAGAATTAACTGCAGTGTTTTTCTGATGCTATAGAGTCACAAACACTGCGTGGTCACTGTTGAAGGAACATATGTGTATTCCAATATGTTTTACATTTTGTAATATTTTACCTTTCAGATGAAAGATTTTCCCTACTTGTTAGACTCCAGTACTTATTATTATTATTATTATTATTATTATTATTATCATTATCATTATTCTTTTGGAAAGTCTGTTGAAATTCCACTTGGTCTCACTGGAGATCGGGGGATATTAAAAAAGAGTGGTTTTTACTACCTCAACAAAAAGTTGCATTTATCATCCAGGAGGGAGTATAGAGCTTCTGAAAAACAGTGTAATTACTGGCACGGAGCTAGACCTTTGCACAACGTATTTGAAGAAACATGAAAGATTAACTTTCATTGGCTCTTGGGACATGTGTTGCAAACTTTAGGAAGTGAGTAGTTAAGCACTGGCCCAGCATACCCTCAACCCCAGTGAAAGTTACTTGGTGTCTCTGCTTCCTAGTCAAGAATCATTGACTGTCAAGAGAAGGTTGTAAAATATTATACAAATACTAACAGAGTGGCCAGATTCTTTAACTAGCTTTGTCATTATCCCATAACTTCCAATTAAGCTCACAGGTTCATTGCATTCTATTTGTCAGTAAGGGATAGTGCCCAGCCAGCTCTGGCCAAGCAGACCCTGATCCTGATGTTTTCTCTTCTCTTGTTAGTTCCCCAGGAGAAACAGGGACAAATGGGGAGATAGAGTCACGCTCGCAAACCTAACAATACTAGCAGCAAGTAGCAAGGAGAAAGCCCAAAGAGCTGGTTGTCCTAAATCCTAAATTCTGTACCCAAATGCTGCTATTCCCTTGTGCATCAGGAGGCTGGATTTTGCCAAAGCGAGTACAGCATTGTCTTTAGATGGGAGATACTTATGATTTTAAACAAAAAGCTTTATCCTCTAAGAAGCATGATATTTGCAGAACATGCTGATTGGCCTTCTTTTCCACAAAGAAAGCATACACATAACTTTTGGATCTCCTTTCTGATTTTCCTACTGGAAGCTTCCTTCAGCTTTTGTTCATCTGTAGCCCACTTTGGCCTGTTCCATATAGGACAAGAACAAATTGGCCATATAACTGGAATTGCTGAGAATCCAAGCTCTGATTTTAATGTCCTTTATAGAAGGAGCCAACGTGTCTATTTTTGGATACTTGTTCTCCCTTGTCCCCATTTCTGTCTTCCCTCTATTTTAGGTTCCAGTGAGCAGTGAAATTCCAGACGTTGACATGAAGAGAGGGTTTAGGATGAGTCACAAACAGTATGACTTTTACCTGGAAAACCTAGTTACTTGGACTCCCACGATAATCTGTCCAACTGGGTGCTGCCACTTGCCCACCTATAGGGTCTCATGAGGACTGACAGGCTGTCCTTTCCCGAATACCAGGACTCCTTCCTCCAAATGATATAAAAGTTAATTATTTTTTTAAAAAAATCCCTATTATATAAGATGAATCTCTGAATTCATATTCTGAAAAGGAAAAAAGTTGCTTTCTTTTTTGCCGGATCCTAGTACTTATGGCCTGTCCTTTTATCTATTCCAAAGCAAGTTTTCTCCTCTTTCCGTCTTCTTTTAGCTTAAAAAATACTTCGGGGAGTTTATAGTGTTTCTTTTTTTAAGGGCACAGATATTTACAAGAAAATTAAAAAGATAATTTTTTTTAAAAAGTTTACACACCATGCCTTTTTTCTCCAAGATATAAGCCCCTGGGGGAGGATCATATATAATGTGTGTTTTCTCCTCTTAACTTGTTGGAATCTGCAAATGGTTCAGCGATTGGTTACAATTCTTGGATTTGCAAAGCCACTTACTTGATTAAATAAGTAAAACATGCTCTATATCTTGATTGATGAAGTATCACATGAGTGTTTATGTAAAAAAAAAAAAAAAAAAAAAAAAAAAAAAAAAAGCAGATGTCCCAGGAGTATCACCTAAATTTAAGTGAAGTTGGATTTTTTTTTTTTAAAGATTTAGCCCACTGTCTAATGCAATACCCTGTTATCCATTCTGATAGCAAACTGCTCAACTACCTGCTTTAATGGAGGGACCTGTTTCTACCCTGGAAAGTGTATTTGCCCTCCAGGACTAGAGGGGGAACAGTGTGAAATCAGTGAGTATTGACCTTCTGCATTCTCTTTTTTTCTGGGGGGAGCTTCAAAACCCCATCCAACCCTATCATCTAATCAGTGAGGAAGCTGAAGCCCAGAGACAATGAAGAGCTTATCTAAGGGCTCAGGCCAGTGGTTCCTTCTCACTAGATTTAGCCACCATTCACTTAGGCTAAAGGTGGGGGACTGGTGGGGGGGGGCAGAGGGTGCCATAGCTTAGCTCAGATGACTCACAGCAAACACTCTGATGCCGTCTCATCTGGGCTTGGGTTGTTTGGCATGTTGCATTGCTTCTTTTTAGTGAGTTTGTCCCCTTCTCATTGTGCAGAGCCATAGTTTCAGCCTGGAAATGTAGACCAGAGTTTTGGGACAGGTGAATGTGTTTATCTACCTGCAGGCATAGAGTTTCTTCCCTGCCATTCACTGCCACATTTCTTGAATCAGACTGAGCCCATTATCCCACCTAAGAGAAAAGGACAAGTTCAAGAAAAAGGGGGAAAGGGTGCGCAGCAATAAAAAAGAACAAACTAATAGCATACACAACATGAATGCATCTCATCGATGTTAAGTAAAGGAACGAGGTACAAAAAAGTGCATACCGCACGATTCCATTTTTATGAAGTTTAAGAACAGGCAAAATTAATGGATGACAGTAGAAACCAGGATAGTGCTCAGGGGCAGAAAGGAACTTTATGGGCTGCCAAAAATGCTCGCTATCTTGACTGATGAAGTATCACTTGAGTGTTTATTTATGTAAAAAAAAAAAATAGTTGAGCTGTAAACTTTAGATCAACGCAGTTATGCCTTCACTCTGTGTTTGTCATGCTTCAGTACAAAGAAAGAAAAATGTAAGGGTGGAATGTGGTAGATAATCATTGTTTTCAGAATCAGGATATCAAACTGCTTATCCTCCTGGCTCTGCCCCCTGCCGGCCTTGCAACCCTCAGCAAATCACTGAAGCTCTCTGAAACTCAGAAAGGAGCCAACGGCACCCTAGATTGCTTTAGGATCCAGAAAAGAGATGACACCAGCACTCCATTCAGGAAGGAGCAAAAGGAACATGAGCATGTCTGCTACGGGTGCCGTGTCCCTGCTTTTCTGGAAGCTCTGGAATATGGCATTTTCATTTCCAGCTGTATCATATCTGTAAAATACTGCTGGTTAGTACAGCCATGGTTTCTGAAGTTGCAGTAGGCTCAAAATTAAATAATATTGACTTGCAATTTTGACTTTCAAGCTCTAATTTGTGAGTTTCTGTACTTTAGTGAGTAGTAGATGAAGTAACCACTTTTTTATAGAGTTCAAACGAAATACCTCTGAAGTTTCCATAGAACATGTAATGGATTGTCAGGATGTGGTTTCTGTTCTTATTAATTACCCTGCCCTGATAAAGATATCTCTGAACTAACTCCCCTCAAATTTCTTTTTCCATACTTGCTCTCAGACTCCACATACTTAGTTAGATCATATTTAGGAATCTTTGTTCATGGGCTCATTTCTCTTTATGTAAATACCCTTTCATGCTCTTGGGTTTACGACCTTTCCATTGGCAGAGACAATGATTTCTATTTGTTTCTCCCCCCCCTAACTGCACCCGAAATGGAGGCCTTTGAATGCTCCTGATTATCCCTATCACAAGTTATGCTCAAACCCTTCTAGGAAGTGTCCTGTTTCTATTATACGAACCAAGAAAATATGGAAATAGGTCTTGACTTGATAAGTGCCTCTAGTATAGTAGAGACAAAGAGTTGAATCATGAATTCTTATTTTTAAATTGAGATATAATTCACATACCATAAAATTCACCATTTAAAAATATGCAATTCAGTATATTCATGAAATTGTACAGCATCGCTTCTGTCTCATTCTAGAATATGTCATCACCCACAGAAGAAACCCAGTACCCATGAGCAGTGACTCCCTATTTCCCTTTCCCCAAGATACTGGAAGCTACCAGTCTACTTTCTGTCTCTTAACATTTTCCTATTCTGGACATTTCATATAATAGAATCACACAATATATGTCCTTTTATGGCCAACTTCTTTCACTTAGCGTGATGTTTTTGAGGTTCATCCATGTTGTGGCATGTATCATTACTTCCTTTTGATTGCTGAACAGTATTCCATTACATATATATGTGTGTGTATATATATATGTATATGTGTGTATGTATACACACACACACACACACACACACACACACACACACACACACACATACACTATTCTGATGTAATTTATATTTTCGTTTCCCCTGACCTCTGTCAGGACCGATATCGTCTCAAACTTCACTTTGACTTAATTTGAGATACTCTTGCCAATTAACTAATAACATCATAGTTAGAAATATCTGGGTGTACATAGTATACATTTGGTTTATCTTGTTATTTAAGGTTCATAGATATCCCAAGAATCTTCAGTGAACTTTCAGGTAAAAAGTTTACATGAATTATTTATACTGTATTATAAATGGTTTTTAAAATAACTTAATGGGTTCTTATTATCATAAAAATCCTCTGTATAAAATTTTCCTTATAAAAAATTTAGAATACTGAATAAAACAATTCAAAATCACCCATAATCCTAAGACCCAGTGATGATAGTTGTTGACACTTATCATAAACCATTTTAATCTGTTTTCTATGTGAAGCAGAGCTCCAGTTTTAAATTATCCTGCAATCTGATGGGCAGAGGAAGTTTAATGTCCTTATTTTGTCAATCCCTAGCTCATTGTTCTCACTGGACTCATCCACTAGTTATAATAAGAACGCTGATTAAACAGTCAAATCTGTTTGTCTTCAGGCAATGCTTAGTCTGTTTTAGGTAAAAATGTGGTGTCATCTTTCAGGTTGACTCACTTTCCCCACTGTCTAATGGATAGAATCTCTTGCAAAAATACTTTCAGGAAAAGGAAGTCGATATTAAAGACACTTACAGGATTCTGAATTTTAAAACGATCACGCTTTCGTGAGATTCATAAGATTTGGCTTCATAAGATTTGATTTGGAATGGCCTTCAGACAGCCATCTGCAGTCACATTTCTACTGTGTGATAACCAGGAGAGAAGGTCCTTCTTCCTGGCTGTGGTGAACCTGAGGACTCTCCCTTCCCTCTGACCAAGAAAATAAAAATACCCATGGAGTCAATGAAAAGTCTCTCTCTGCCACTCATTCTCTGTGATATCCCTGTCTACCAAATTCACCTTTCATTGAATGTGAGGAAATTTGGGCTCACCCAGTATTTCATAATAAGTACTATCTTTTGTGCCACATAATTATTGCCCCACATCTTGTTTATTTGAAAAACCCAAGTGCATGACAGAGTACCATGCTATCCAATTTTGTGCATATGATGGGGTCAGATGCTTCATGGATACAAATGAAAATTCAGAATTCAGTATTCTTTTCCTTTAGGTAAGAGTTGGGATCTTGACCACATAGTAAATGCTATTCTTTGTATACAAACCTAGCCAAGAGGACCCTTTATATTTTTAATGGTTAGTGAAAAGGTGGTATTCTATGATTCAGGTTATTTTAATGCCTGTTTCTAGAACATCCCTGTGTCAGAAAAACCTGTAGATATAATGGCATTCCAGGTTTTCAAGAGACTCTAACATATCAATATTATGTCTATATTGTCTCCACTAAATGCTGCTTTGACCAATTTATGCATGAAGAAGGTCCTTTCGGGTAAGTTAAAAGAGAAGCAAAATAATTTGCACATGGAATTCATGTGTCTCAAACAGCGCTTGCCAGTAAATCATATTGTAGCTCACTTCCTTCAAAGCTTCATTTGGCCATAAAAAGAACAACTTAGAGAATAAAAGTGTGTTGTTTTAGGATAAAAGTTTCATTTCTTCTCCTTATGTGCTGAGGCTTTTGTAATGAGTATTCTGCTAAAATGTAGAAAATAAAAAGAACAACAATTAAAACAAAATCCAAACTCCTCCAGTACCACAATCTAATGGCTGTTTTCTCTCTTTGGAACATCATTACGCCAGTCAGCTCCGGGTGAGCAATCCTTTTCCTTCTACTTCTTCAAAACATTCAGCCTTAGGATGGCAAATTCTAGATTGCAGAGGGAGAATAAATAGCTTCTGGAGTAAGAAAGAAGACAATCATTATGTAATTTTTACATCTAAGGCCCTATCCCAGCTCTAAAATCCTGTATTTAAAGAGCTGTGAACACATTAGCAATTCTCATTTGGTCCCAAGATCGAAGAAAGAGTGATGTATCATTAGGATCTAAGACATTCCAGAAAATTGCACAGGTGTGGTATCGGGCCCCTTTGGTGCCCTATCTCATATCGTTCTCAGCCAGCCTCTTACTCCAGTTACTGCTATGGCAACCTGTTTTGCACAGGCATAACCTGATTGCACCTCCTCTTTTTTTTTTTTTTTTGTTTATTTTGTTTATTTTGAGAGAGAGAGCAGGGGAGGGGCAGAGAGAGGGAGAGAGAATCCCAAGCAGTCTCCATGCTGTCAGTGAGGAGCCCAACGTGGGGCTCCAACTCACAAACCTTGAGATCTGACCTGAGCCAAAATCAAGAGCCGGACGCTTAACCGACTGAGCCACCCAGGCGCCTCAGGTTGCATCCTGTCTTAGCTGCTCCACACTTCTCCTGCGTTCTACCCAGAGACTCCTCTGAGTTCTAAAAAATCAGTGTGCACTCACATAGTGACACATTGGAAGTGTGAGGAAGCTATCCCATAAGGTGACCCTCGGCCAGTGGGAGACAATGAAGAAATGCTCCCCTCTCCCTTCTTAAAAGTGACTTGAGGGTACAGTCTCCACGGCTCCTCAGAACGACCCAGCAGGATGCAGCCTGGTCCAGGATAGAGCCACGGTGATGGCCACCCTGCAAATATACTTTTGTGTTGGCTTTCCCTCCTTCCATTTTTCATTCTCCCTGTCCCCCCATCCCGGTTTCCTAGGGTTACTTCACCAAAGACACTCTCTGCCTGCAAGCCAGCCCTGCTCTCTGGGGAATCCTAGGCGGAGAAAGATCTTGTCAGGTACAGGTGCAAGCCTGCTTGCGGAAAGAGCGACATTCAAAGTCTGAGCTCCGAGGAAAGATCATTTAGAGGTTAATTCGTATCTTAACTTTTACTCTATCTTAAATTACAAGTGTTTATGAATCAGAAGTTTATTCCGTTTATAAACAAGTAATATCAATACATTTATAGAAATATAAATGTGTGGGCAACACATTTACCGTCGAAGATCTAAATTAGAAATCCTAATAACGCTAGCCTGTTTGTCCCAAAGAATGAAACTCAAACGGTCTCAAAGCCAGAGTAGGTCGGAAACAAGTGGGAATCGCTGCCATTTAAAAAGCAGTTATCTTCTCAAAGCCCTGCCCTTCCTTTGTAAAATGTGATGACCTCTGAACGAAGCACTGAGTTCCTTGCCTGTTTGCATCCTTCTCTTGTTTCAGGCAAATGCCCGCAACCCTGCCGAAATGGAGGTAAATGCATTGGTAAAAGCAAATGTAAGTGCTCCAAAGGTTACCAAGGAGACCTCTGTTCAAAGCGTAAGTATCCATACACAGAATCAGCCTGGCTTGGGGGAGCTCTTCCTACATTACTTCTTCACCCACTGCATGTTGCCTCGGCATTACGATTAACCTCTGTTCACTGACATATATGTTCCCTTTACCTAGAAGAAAAACACTGTATGAAATCCATGCATGTAAAACAACAACAACAACAACAACAACAAAAACCAGACATATTCACACACAAGCAACTGAACTTTTTAACTATTTGGAGTTTTCTTAAGGAAAATAAACTTCCATTCCAGCAGTTTCAAGGTCCTACTGAGCATCTTTTGTGAATGAGAAGCATCAAGATTAGTTTAAGATCTCTGTCAGGACTTAATTTTATTTATTTATTTATTTATTTATTTATTTATTTAT